TTCAAGGACATCCGCCTCTCCCAGGAAGAGAACACAAGCCTGCGCGAACAACTGATCTGGACCGTCATGAATGTCGTGGTTCAGCACGGGGGCGAGTCCTTCAGCAAGTACAAGGCCGACGTCGCATCCCACTCACCCGAGTCCCACGGCATACCAGTTCACAAGACGGAAGTCTTCCCGATGCCGGCAATGAATATCGATGAGTCGAGCACGGTTGGCAACGCCCAGGTCCTGGTACGATGTTCGAGGAGATGGGCTTCGACGTGGCTTCGTCCGAGTTTGCGGAGGAAGTGCGGCTTGTCTTTGGCGACCAGCTCTCCATGGCGCGCGTTTGAGGCGTCACACACGCGCGTGTAGGTCACGATGACCCTGCACACGCGTATCTCAACATCGTCTTCGCACCGGGCTTTTTCCACTACTAGATGGCGGCCACACATGGCTTGCTAGAGACGTACTGGGGAGATGTCGCACACGACCCTGGCTCGCTTCACTTCAACAACATCCGTCTCGACCGTAAACCCATTGTCCTCTCCTCTCTACCACCATACCGCGTCTGCCGAGACCTGATCTTTGTGTCCTTGTACGCCCGGGTCCTCCTATGCCTTGAACACGTCTCAGAGGTGAGCATAGACAAGTATGCTTCGAAGTACACCTACGAGGACCTCTACCGCCATGCGGCTGCAATCGTCGATCGCTACGCCGACGCCGAGGTCGCCCAAAAGGCTCGTCCCAGCGATAACGTATTCAGCAATGCCGTCTTGTTCCTCCGCGATGCACTCCTCCTCCGTCACTTCGCGGACGCCATCAAGGCAGGCCACTCGGACCACATGGTCACCGTCCTGAAGCTTTGGGCCCTCGGCTTCCGTGCGATGGGCCGGACGAAGTACGCCCATGAGCTCCTTCATCTCATTCACAACATTGTCCATGTGTGGCCCCCGGCCCTTCGGTACGTGTGTCACTTTCTGCAACTGCGCCATCACACGTCTGACATGATCACACAGCAATGTTATCATGAAGAACTGGCTCGTTAACACCACTGGGAAGCCAGAAGGGTTCATTCCCGTCGACCTGCTGCAAGAACACTTGAACTTCTGGATTAAGGTATGCGTTATCTCTCATCCCCTTCAGTGCATGCTACTCACGCCCTTTCAAGGTGGTATACCAAGCCCACGGAGCCAACGCTTCGTGGGAATGGCTTGCAACCATTGCACCCTGTATCAACACGCTCCGTCAGCTTGCCAGTCAGATGCACGCCGAGCTAGGAAGCCATCAAGGGTCCAAGCACGCTGCCCCCGATCTCTCGAAGGATATCGCGACGCTCATGGCATCGCTCCGGGAGCACACCGTCTACGTGCAGGAACGCGCCCGGAAGTTCAATGACCAAGTCGCGCCGGTACCAAATGTGTACACCGCAGGCATTCACAACCTCGCGGGAGCACTCTCAGACTACAACGACTTGTTCGCGAAGATGAAGGCACGGCGTGCGAAGGTCCCGCTTCTAGGGAAGTCTGTCCTCGCTACGTATGGTGTTGGACTCCCACCCGCTGCTGACACCCACTCACCCCCTACATCCCGGCCGGCGAGCCCTGTTGATGACGACGTCGATATGATGGAAGAGGCGTCCGACGAGGATGAGAATCCGGAGTCAGACGGGGAGGGGATGGAATCAGAAGCATCAGAAGCAGAGGAGGACCGAGTTGATGTATCTCGCGACGAGTTCTTCTCTTTGGAGAGAGCAGAAGACGTCGCGCTCGACATGGATGGCTATTAGTTGTATGGTAGAACAAGATTGTCGCAGTATTTGCGCGTATAGAACCCCCGCGGCCTCACAAGTACATTTTCCAAGGGAGAGATTCGCCGAATTTCACTAAGTCAGTATTCGCACGGTCGGCGTTTGCGGAGAGTGGCAAACAGGCGACCAGTTTGCCCAGTCCGCTCGCAAGCTCGCGACCTGGCGCTTGAGGCTTGCGAGCGGAACTGGCTTGCGAGTCTACCTAATCGGAGACACGCGATCACGCGACCCACGTGGTCTCGACGCGTCGTGAGTGAGCGCTTGAGCTTGCTTCTACCTCTAGCGGCTCCTCCCCACCATCCAACCACCATCGCTCAGGACCTCTCATCTGTCTGCATATAGATGCAGTGTCTCGTCCACAGCCAGAAACAGCGCAATATCAAGTGAAACGATGGGAGTACGTAGTATGTCCAAGGTAAGTATGACATCTGCTAAGATCCGCACCCGAATCGGACTTATCTGAGTCACAACAGTTCTGCTCCCCTTGGCAGTGAAAGCTTCACCAGTGTATCCCCTAGCAATTTATCTTCACCTAGGTCTGTGTGAGGCACATGTCGGGCTCATCAAGCGTATCCCGGCTCAGCACACTCTGGCAATGCACCGTGACCGTAGCCTGGTGCAGTACTTCTGGCTTCCCTGGTCGGATATCCCTCGCCCTGATATGAGCCATCGCTCGTCGTGGGAAGCTTGTACGTCTCTCATATCAGCGGCGTTGACGTGCGTGCGCATAAGAAGCATCCCCAGCGCATGTTGTACTCACAGCCTCGACGATGGCAGATCCAAACAATCCCGAGGGGGTCCTCCGCGCGTCGGGTATGTAGCTCCAGCTGTCCTTCGTACCCGCCATACCTTGCTCCAGCCTGCGTCTTCGCAAGTACTGCTATACTTTACTGCTGGCAAGATGGGCGAGGTCTATACCATGTCGATCGACGACGCGAGCTCGATTGTCAACTACCACCCCCAAGGTATGTCTGTGTATTTATAGCACGTAGGATCAGCCAATCATCCGCAACTTTCTAGGAGATGGGGGTATCGGCGACTTCACAGCGAACGGCTGGCAACCGTTCTACGCTGGCTCCCCAGGAGGATTCACGACTCGGGGTGGGGAGGCAGCGCTCGGAGACTCGATGCACATTACCGCATTCTTGAACGCGACTCTAGACTTTCAATTTTACGGTGAGCTTACTCAGTCTAACTCCTTCATTTTCTACTCATGAATGCGCCCGCAATAGGGACCTCTGTCTCCCTGGTCGGCATCGCAAACTGTTCCTACACCGTTTCTGTGGACGGAAACTCTCACTCCTTCAAGGCCCAACGCGGCCATAGCACCACGCTCTTCTCGCAAGACGGGCTCGAAGAGGGCATGCACACGGTCTCACTGACTGCGAACGCCTCGCATGCCAACGAGTTTGCGTTCCAGCGCGCAGACGTGTCCCGGACAATCGCCGCAGGGTACGCTTAATTCGCCTGCATCTGATGTCCATACAGGCCTAGATTGTTGAACGCTCTCCGCAGCGCCCAGGTGCCGACCGCCCGTGTGTACCAAGCCGCAAACACGTCTGAGTCTTTCCTCCAGTACTCCGGCAACTGGACCATCCTCAACGACCCGCTCATTCCCAACCAGCAGCAGCCTGCCCCGTACTATGAGGTCGAAACCGCGCCTGCGTCCTTTTCATTCGCCTTCCAGGGTACAGGTGTCGCCATCAACGGCTCGCGCATCTGGGGGAGCTACACCTACGATGTCGTAAGTCGTCCATCGCGTCTCCTGCGTTCCTGGCGCCGACGAGCGGTTTCTGCAGTCTCTCGATGGCCAGGGACCCGTCACCTACAATGCGAGCACGATGTGGTTCATCGGCGACGCGCTCCTCTACTACCAGGACGGACTGGATCCCATGGCTACCCACACCGTCACGGTGCAGCCGACCGTTGCCGACGGACTCAAGTTTTGGCTGAATACTGTCACTGTCTTTACTGATAATCCCTCCGAGGCGGGCGGGCTTGCTAGGTAGGCGTTCAGCGTGTCATGACCGATTGCATGATCTGTATCCAACACGCTTATGCAGCGCTCCTTCATCACCCTCCACCTCGAAGACGAACGTCGGCGCCATCGCCGGCGGCGTCATCGGCGGGCTAGGGTTCGTCGCACTCGTCGCAGGGCTTGTGTGGTACCTCGTCCGCCGCAAGTGCCAAGCAACGAAGATCTACGACCGAGAGCAGCCGTCCCCGTTCATCACCCCGATGACACAGACGAACCCGTACACGCCCCGCGGAGACACGAAGCTGCCGATCCTGCCCAACAGCAGCGCGTCCGTGCTCCCCACTGTCTCTTCCTCGTCCTCTCCCTCTGAAGCTGCGCAGACGGTGTCTGACTCCCCTCTGTTGCTCCACCCAGGCTCAGCGGCGCAGGCGGCCTCCTCGGCGGTGACGTCCTCAGCTGAATCACTGGCGAATCCCGATCCGCATGTTGCTGTGGAGAGAATCATACATCTTCTTGCGGAGCGCATTGCTACTCATCCGGCACCGCAGCCGGTGTACGGGCCCGATGTGCCTCCTCCCGAGTACGGTGCATGAGGTTAGTCGAGGTGCCCGGGTTGGTTAGTTCTGCTGTATGCTGGTCAATCTATCTATATTTTGTGGTGTGTATCTTGCATGTCTCTCACTTGTGCCATCTTACTTATATCGTAATCACTTCATACAACACAGACGTTTTGGGCTTGAGTGGAGACAAGTACCGTCCCGACTCTACGAACTTCCTTCGAGTGACCTGTGGTAGTACATATAGCAGAGGTACTAATCCTAGCTCAGAAATTTTGTCATTCATTCTACTGTACTTCTTTGAATACACGGTCATTTCCCGACCATCTGTCCACTTAAGTCCGCTGAACGCGAGCGCGTGCTACTAAGAGTGAGCAACTCCCTATGGCATCCTCTGGAAGGTATCCGCTGACATGAACGCGTACCGCCACCAGTGTGGTTAACCATGATATCGCACGCGCTCGCACAGTGAGCTGTGGATGGTGGCCCCCATAGAAGATCCTTGGTTCTCTAGCAGTCTGCTTCATTCGTCGGCCGCTGTTCACTGTCTTCGCTGCACGGATCCTCCGCGGAGTCCGCCTGTTTTAGTCCCGAATCGCTACAGCGTGAACTCTGACGCGGTTTCGACTGCTGCGCACAGGTATCACATACTGACAGCTTTTACAGTAAATATGGCCGCCTGGCGTAATGGCAACGCGTCTGACTACGATATGCAGTAAATGCATCGGTAATCAGGAGATTGCAGGTTCGACCCCTGCGGTGGTCAATGAGTGGCAGGTCCGATAAGCTTTTTGCCCACCATAGAATCCTTCGACAGCCATAGTGACGGCGACCAGACCAATGCAGAACCGATGGATTACCCATAAAGATGAGATTGAAAGTACTTCCGACCGGGACCTGTTGATAGTCAGAACTGATGTCTATGGGCCTGTCCTCTTCCTCTTATGAGGGGAACCAACGAATAGGACGCACAGAACGTGTGACGACATCTCATTTCATGGAATGGTAAGAAGTTCGATCATCCGTAGTTATTCACAGACAACAATTCACTTGTCTATCAATGCAACACCCATAGCTACGTGAGCCGGGCTCTTCTCCCGGCCTCTCTCAGGCTGTGCTGGCATTGCGACGAGCACCGTGACGGACATCCCAGAACCATCTTCACGTTCGAGTGAGTCGTGAAGTTCCCTCTGGCTGGGACCGCCGCTCGATTCAGCAGCATAGACCAGAGGACTGCCTACGGAAGTGCGGTGTGGTACGGCATCCGACGCTTGTATGTATCCCGCCGCAACAGGCTGAGGATGAACCAATGTGGGTGAAGATGAGCGAAACCCCATGGCCGCTACATGGAAAAGCCACATACCATCAAGTCGGACCATCTGCCCTGTCCATTCGCACCGGCGAGGCGTACCTCCCACAGGCGGGGCCGCTCCAACGCGTCAGGCTGACCGCGAGCAGCATTTATAGCTTCGCGCCGCTGGCGGGTCCGACGGATGACCCGCAGCACGACGAGGGTCGCGACGACGAAGGCGGCGACTGCGATAGCGGCCGGGAGTGCCGCGGTGTTGCCACCGAGTCGGGTTGGCCTTCAGCTTCAGGTCCGGCGGAACGTGCGACGTTCAGTCCGCTGTACGTCCTTTTGACCGCCGCGGGCGTCGACGGCGGGGGAGGTCCGAGGTACGGACGGAGCTTCAAGACACGGTAAGCAACGAGGATGCTAGGTCAAGGGTCGGAGGTACATACCTCCCTCGGGTCCCACCTAACGTGATATGCCATAACGCGTCCAGTCGCGAGTTGGGTTCCAGGTGATTTGCTGTCATTGTCGGTCGTGGATCGTGCTAGATACAGTGATCGTTACAGTGAGGAGAAGTGAAGATAGCGTGGTGAGTTCGTGGACCCTTCGGAGGATAGTAGGGAAGGGAGAAGGACGCACCTCGCTATGGAGAGTCGAACTTGATGTGCTCTCCTCGAGGTACGACGAAGGGACTTTATAACGCGCTGCGCTTGGCTGCGCGCGACTAAGTATTTCAATGTCATGACTCGACCGTGGACGCACTTGGCGCTGATCGCTGCCCGCATGACGCTCTGGCCGAACGAATGGCGAACAAGCTTCAAGGTCACCACGAGGCTAATGACCTGGTTATGTAGAGCTGGAGTCTCAGACGACGAGTTCGGGCAACAACGACGCTTGTGTACTTCCGAGCGTACTTGCTCTTCGAGTGATCACTGTCCCACTGGTCTGACCAGATATCGCAGTTCATTAGGCCTCATTCGAGAGCGAGAATGCGTGGATAGCTCGCTCTACTTCTCTCTACTCGGGGCCAGACAGGTTGACAACTCGATGCGTCGACTATATGCGCCATGTTGAGCCAAGATTGCGTTCTGTCGCTTGCTGCGAACGAGTCAGACACCCTAGAATGCATCCGAGTCATCGCGGATGGGAAGGCGCCTTGACTAGCCGGTCCCGAGGGGTATGGATCAGAGGCCCCCTCTAGAACCTGGTTAGCCATAGGTAAGTCCGTAGATTTAAGAAAGCCAGGAGGGTCTTCGAAACAGTGCAGAACGGTTGCTGTTGCTAGCGCTGAAGCGCTGAAGGACCGTCGTGGCCGCGGCGCTGGAGCTATCGGAACCTGGGTGCGACATATTTCGCGCTTGTTCACGGCTGCTTGCTCTATCTCCAAGTCTAACCCAGTCGGAGTCGTCCCCGCAGTCTTCCCAGGCTTGTAGCCTTCCCAGACACAAGAGACGAGATGTAGGTGTGCTCTCTAGTATACACTCGATGCGTTATTCATACTCCTACTGACAAGGGTACTGACGCAACTGCAGTCAAAAGAAGACCGTCAGCACGGTTGGATTGCAAGACATACCGATTCTCCAATTCCCATGACTCAGTTTTGCTCTCCGGATCTCATGTCATCCGTCTCATCGACACCTTATCCCCGACTACTACATGCTGCTTATGCTGACAGATTGAACAGAGGCGCAAGCTAGCGGAATCAGCGGGGTTGGGACTAGCAAGTCAGCAGAAGGTAGAGCAGACTGAGAGAGAGGAGTCCAGCAGCATGAGGTGTTCGTGAGGGCAGGAGGAAGACCGCGGTAAACCGTGGGAACGCTCCAACACGGTCACGTGTATCAACGGCCGCGTCGAGACGCGCTGCTCGGGACGATCCACTAACCGCGACGTCCTTCGAGAGCTACTCGGACACGCGTTGACAGCGACTTCCATGCTTCCCAAGCTCAAGTTGCATAAAATGCCTGGAGGCTGTCCTGGGCACCGATCCTGCGATCCCCCATGTTCCATCCCCCTCCCATCGTGTGAGGCTCCGACCCCACAACAGGAGCAGCATCATGGCCACTCTTCTCTCGCTCTCTTACTTCAGTCTCTCTGTACTTGCTTTGACTTTTGCACCTGACCACATACTCTCGTTTATCCCGATACCCGTTCCTCATGCACTGCTCCGGACACTCCGCAAATTCTTGTGTTCAACCGCATCTTACGTTGGGGGATTTCTTCTTCGCCACCTCAACCAGCGTTTGGCTACCGATGCCACCAACGCACCTTCTTGGAGCTTTTGTCTGACACTACTCACGCGTACAGCTACTTCTTGGCTTGCTTGGTCCAGAAGTGAGGTCGCTGAAGGTCCGTCCCCCACGCAGTTGGCATATGACGCATCGACATATTGAAGTACTATATACACAGATCAGAACAATCACCACCTCTTTGTATCCCAGCGGTCTAACGTACCCTCTCCTGGTAAGTACGTTTAACAGAGTGCATCATGTCCACGCATGCCCTGAACGGTGATTATGTAGAACACCATTTTCCTCATGCGCCGGGACCCTTCAGTCCTTCGCAGCTTGTCTCGGCATACCGCTACCTCAGCTGCCCGATACATCCACTCCTCGTGACCCCACGCCTCGCCATCTACCCCCACCTTATCCTAATCCGACTCCTCTGCGACCAATCAGACAACTTCAGCGTCTTCATGCTGCGCCGTCCAGATGCCCGAGGAGGACACGCCCCTTCGCCGATGTCCGACTGTGAGGCGAACCCGGGTAGTGCACCCGGCATTCAAGCTCGCGACTTCCGTGAAGACACTGTATTTGACGTCGACACGTCCTACTCGTCCCGTATGAGGCCTGTCTCGGAGCGCGACGTCCATGTTCGAAAGAACGAGGCATTCGGAATTCCCGCATGCGACGCGCTGTCCGCGGTTGCCTCCGATACCTCCAGCTTGCTGTCGTGCCCCTCAAACTCGCTCCAGTATGAGCAGTCGTATGCTCTGCTGGGATCCGGAATCGACCTTGACGTGGACAGCGTGGCACGCCCGCAAGCACCCGAGGCATCTGACGACGCGGACGACGACACTAGCTCGCAAGTTCTTAGCGCACACCCGCCGCAGTCTCAAGAGCGTCTTATGGGCAGCTCGACCTCCTGTTGGGCTTTGCTGATCCCGCTGATCATGAGTCCGAGACCGACCGCATACCAGGAGGATGGCCAGTTTGCGAGGAGGACTCGGAGGCGCTTCGAGTCGAGGATGCCGCGCTCGGTCGTGACGCCGGCTCGCAAGCTCATGTACGCACACACGTCTACTCGGACGCGAACCAGGAAGCTTCTGCGATTACGTCCCTTGACCCTGGTACGTCCATACGATTGCAACTGCCGTTTCTCCGTACGTGTTCTGACTCAACGTGGCAGGGAGTCGTGATGTCCTGGCCAACGCCGCCCCCGGAGGAGTAATCCTCACTCCTCTGAACCTTCTCTCCGCATACATCCACTTCTACTACCCGATCAGTCCCCTGATCGCGACGACGCGCGTTTCGGTCTATCCTCGCTCGATTCAAGTCCGAGTCCTTCATCTAGCCGGCACTCTCGTCGACTTGCACGTCGGGTTCGCAGAAGGCACCGCCCCTGTTATGCTCCCGTCGACAGTCGTCCTCGATCTCATACTCACTTCCCGAGCTTGGAAGAGACGCGGTCACGTCGATCATGAGGTCGGGATCAGTTCGCGCTCGCTTAGCTATGGTGAGATCGGCGCCGACGAGGGAGAAGGCACAGACGAACAGGACCGCGGCATGCTATCCGCAGTGGTATCCCAGAAAGGTCGCCGCCCCAAGACTCGCGAATCGTTCGAAGACGTCAAGGCCTGTGCATCGATGCACGCGTCCTTACGTACGGTCCATCTCTGGGAGCACCTCTCCTCGGACCTGTACGAGGAAGCGACGACCAGCTCCGCCGACGAGACAGACCACGATCAGGACACTACTCTCTGCGAGTGCGAGTCGACTTCGGCCACCCTTGAACAGCTCACGTACATGGACAGTTTTCCTCTCGTTGATACCCTGCAGACTGCGAAGGAAGAGGAGCGGGACAACGCGCCTGCCTCTCCCGGGGCTTGCACGCACGACAACACCGACGAGTCCGCAGGATCGCTTCCCCCACAAGGCAACGAGCCATTCCGGACTCGCAGGTATCCTCGGACCCATACTCCGAAGCCATCGTCGACTCGGACGTCGACGACAGGACAGACCAGGATACGGCCGCGGATGCAGACATCATTACCACCCTCTCCGACTCCGGATCCAGGGCGACCACCCCAGACCTCAACCTCAGCACCATTGCCGTTCTTCCCCCCGCGGACTTACAGACGGCGAACGACGACGATAATAATACCCGCGGCTCTGCTTGTGTTTCCGACCAGTGCGGCGACGTCATTGCTGTGGTTGTCACCGCTACCGCACCCCTAAACGCGCCTCGACAGGGGT